CCCCTCAATTTTTTAAATTTTATATAACCAAAACATGTTAAATCAACCAATAAAATTACAGTATTATTATTTTTGTGCTTTTTTTGTCCCCTCCCCCCCCACCTCTAGATATTATTTAATGTTATGTTAAACAAAGAATCAATTTGGAGTGGCTTAACAGATAAGAAAAATAAACCGGTTCCGAACCCATTTCACAGAAATTGATTTCATCACAGCAATTTATCACCGCAGAAAAACATCGATCATGATTAATTATGGACCGTCACAAAACTTAAAGAGCAAAGTTGAAAATTTGACCGAATTGATCGATGGTTTCAACAAACTGAATTTCTCCAATTATCAAAGATTGGCAGATACGAACGATCCAGACGGAATTTTCTGACTCGGTTATTTTTACGAATATGGAATTGGAGTTGAAAATGATGAAAACGCGGTATTCACGCATTATCAAAATCGGCAGACATGAAAATTCTAACGGAATGTATTAAGTTGGTTATTGTTATAATTTAGGAATTGGAGTCGAAATCGATAAGCACAAAGTGTTTACATATTATTGGAAGTCTACTGAGGCAATGGAATTTGGAAAACTGCCATCATTACGTTTAAATTCATTTTCATTCACATTAATTTAGTCGATGAGTAGATCATAAATAAATACTTATTTACCATTACGTTTAAATTCATTTCATTCACATTAATTTAGCCGGTGAGTATAAAATTATTTATTTACATTCAATATAAAGTTTAAAATCGCAGTTGCGAATAAAACATTAAATATTTATTATATAGAAATTCTAAACATGGAAAATGTGCTCATTGCAATGAAGATAACACTTATCCAGCATGGTGTCTGTCGTGTGACCCTGACAGAGCAACAAGTTGGACAAGTGGAAATAAAGATATTGATGATTGTATGAAAGAATTCCAATTTAGAGCCTGGAATTATGAGAATGCGATTGAATGGATTCCATTTAATAGATTATCTGAGGAGGATTTGGTTCCGTATATTCAGCAACCTGGTTGGATGGCATACGAAAAATTGATGACGATGATTATAATTATGTAAAAACGCGTGAACCACCCAGCATCGTAGCACTCAAGACATTGGCCAGTTAAAAGTAAGTTAATTTTTGCTTTAATAATTTATCTAATAGTTTGTTGAACTAATTCATTGTTTAAACTTTAAATTTAAAAGTCTTATGACATGTAAATTAAATTATAGTAGTCTCGAAATATATGGAACAACCCAAAACACAAAAACAAAAGACTACTTGATGGTCTTTCAATATGCCGATAATGAAAGCCTTCATAAATATTTAAGAAAAAATTTTATTAATCTTACATGACAAACTAAATTGCAAACGTTTAAAGATACTGCGTATGAGTTATATACGAATATTCAGGATACATCCATGCAGATTTTCATAGTGGTAATATTTTGCAAGATTAACGCACTAATAAAAATGCACAATCCTATATCGCAGATCTGGGATTTGTCTAGAAAAGTAGATGAGAAAGTTTCAACTGGCGAAATTTATAGAGTTATGCCCTATGTTACTCCTGAAGTTTTATCAGGCGATAAGCCGTTTACACAAAAAGCAGATATTTATGGGTTTGGTATGATTATGGTAGAAATGTCGACTGGACAAAGACCTTTTTATGAACGTGAATTTAATTTAAAACTTGCAGTAGAAATTTGTAAAGGATCGCGACCAAAGTTTGTATCTGGAACTCCTAAATGCTATATCGAATTGGCTGAGGAATAACGAGTAAAGTGTTTCGAAGGCAATATTAATGAATTCGGAGGTTATTTACAAATTAATTGTTGATGTTAGAAAATTTTCGATTTGTTGAAGAATGCAATAGAGGAGGACAAGGAAAATTTATTATTTATATATTAATTACGTTGAATGTGATTATTGGATGACAACAATCTTAATTCATTTCTTTTATCTTTTTGCGGCGTAAAATACGTTGGACTTATGAAATCTGCTTTACAGTGTTGGGGCTTCGAAATTATTTCAGTGTGAAAAATATTACTAAAGGGATCTGAGTCATTATTAAGACACGATAGCGCTTCTGCTTTGTGAACAATGCTTTCCTAATATTTAAAAAGCATTATAAAAAATCCATCATAAATAAACGTTATTAAAAAATCCAGTTTCTTACCTTAAAGAAATATAATGCTTCCAAAGTTTGTTTCAGAACAGTAATATCACTGATTTGAGCAGGAAACCTTAACAGTGGCCCTTCGAAACTGAAATACAATCCATTATCTAATAAGTCAACACCAATTATTTGACCATACGAGCTAAGTAATAAAATAGAACTAAAAGCATAAATAACTATGAAACATAATGCAATGCGTAATATGCGTTAAAGCCATACCTGCTAACTGCAATCCAATAACTGCAGAATTTTTTTGATTATTTCATCGGACAGATCATGTGAAAGATATTTGTCAAGAACAGATTTATTTGTTCTAAGGCATTAACTGCGATCACTAATAATTTTTTCCTCGGTGTATAACTTGTAGGTCGATTTTTCTTCAAACTGTTGTTGCTTAAACCGTTTCTCCTCTGCAAGTATTTATGATTAGAAACAATAATTGACTAGGAAAATGGGATCAATTTTTTATGTCACGCCTGGTTTAGCCAACAAGCATTAGTTTTCTATTGTTTTGGTTGTTTTTTATGTTACATCTGATCTATCCAATCAGAATTTAGAATTTGTTAACACAGACAGGACGATGTTGAACATCAGAAAATATTAACACTAGGTAAATGAAAACCATTCAAAGTCCGAAGGACCAAATATAAATTTTAAATTTAATTTATACTATATTATATATAAATTTATACAGTATTTAAAATCGTTTGTTTTTGCAATAAAACCTTCAAATTTAATAGAAATCGGCTTTTTATTCTTTTTATACATTACAGCTAGGGTGCGGGGAAAAAAGCCCGGTTGATTTTGGAAAGTTTGAAGGCTATAAAAACAGTGGTACTTAAGCCAAAATCAGTATATGTATTTAGTATGATAAACACACTTTTAGCAAATGGACTCCATTTGTATCTCTTACACACCTGCTGCCAGTAAGAAGCCTTCAAAGTTAACTGGGTCGGGCCCAGGCCCGGCCCGATTAGGCCCGATCTGGTTAGCTTTGAGGGCTTGTTATTGGCAGCAAGCATGTAAGAGATACAAATGGAGTTCATATACTGATTTTGGCTTAAGTACCAATTGTGGAACACTGTTTTTATAGCCTTCAAACTTTCCAAAATCAACCGGGCTTTTTTTCCACACCCTAATTACAGCTGATCTAACCAATAAGCATCGGGTGATAAATTTGACTATAATAATAAACATGTCAGTTTGTTTTCTATATTATGGCTGATACCACTAGGGCATGCATTTAGGCCAAAAGGCATGCACCTATTATGTAATTACAGGGAAGATTGTTGTGAATATGATTGGTTGATATGAGAACAAAATTACAATATCGCTATTCAAGTTTGCATATTTATAAATTCATCTTTACATATACTGTGGTTTTATGAATTACTAAAACAAATTTTTTTTTTTTTTTTTAATCAATTCGGTAGTCATGCCTTTATAATCATCTAGACTATTAAAATTTTAGAGAGACTTATCGGTGAGTGATAAACTCTGAACATGTCAGCAGATAGTATATGAGAACTATCTCTAAACGATATGTGCTGTGCCTGAGGACCACACAACTATACCTAAATTACAAGTAAAGACTAACCCGGTTGCTCAATGAGTACCTATATTCGACCTGCTATAGTAGGATTTTCCTCTTTCCGGACCCTCTTGCAATTGGATATGACCCAGCTCTCAACAGATGGTACCTACTGCCCGTTATGACCACCTCTCCCTTCTTTCAGACTTCTTCTACCTAAGCTCGACAACAAAATTAAAACCCTTATTCATATATAAAAGTGAAAAAAAATAATGCTATATTTATGAGAGACATAAATATTTTAGAAAAAAAACACCTCACGATGGGAAAAAAAAAACTTTTCAACAAATTCTAAAATAGTCTAACATGAATAAACCAAGATGAAAAAAGTGAAAAAAAAGAAAGATAGCCATAACACACTATTATAACCTGTGCTAGGCATAAGGATAAAAATTATATAATAATTACAACTAATTAATATATCTCGATTGTAAGATATTGCCTTATCATAGAGGACTCATTCTGAACACCAATAAAACTCAGGTATCTTCTAATTGGAGGTACTGATCTCTTCCTCAAACTGTAGTACCATATTGATAAACAAAACAAACACGTAGTTGTGTTCTACTGAGTACATTTAAATTAGAAAGGTGTAAACATTGCTGATCTTTTGGAGAGGGTGAGCCTAAATGCTCACTTTTTTTTTGAAAATTTTGGAGAGAATGGCAAGAGTAAGAGGGAAGTAGAAAGACCAAGAGAAAACACCAAAGAAATGACTACCCAAGCTTGCACAGTACTAAGTCTTTTTAGTAAATGATAAACTCTGAGCTTGTCAGCAGGTAGCGTATAAGAACTAACTCTAAACGACAAGTGCCATGCCTATAATAGGTCCCTTTTCCCATGTCTCATGTTAAGGCTCCTTTCGAACCAAGCCATGATGTATATTATTCAAAAAAGTGTCTCTAAATTTCCAAGGAGTATTGTTATAAAAACTCATTTGTTGTTCTCCTTCTATTCTATTCTTTTGCATTATGGATTACTTCATTGACAAGAAGGCTCCAACTTCTCATGAGCATCTTCTTTTCAGAATTTTGAAACAAGGGCGCCAACTTCTGCCAGTTATCTTGTTTTCTAACGCTTCTGGTTTACATGCCAAATGTGTAAAGAAGTCCCCGTAGAAGCAAGTTAACCTTTACATAAACTGTTCCATAAGTGTTCTTCTCCTCTTTAACAAAATTTTTGTTTTTGTTCAGTGGGAAATTTTGGTCCAGATGATTGTTGGAAAGAGTTCTTTGTTAATGACTAAAACAAATATTTTATTAACTCGCATATTATTAGACAGGATTTATATTTTTTTATTGCAATAAAAAAGTTTACATATCTTATTGTATTTATAGTTTTTATTTTACTATTTTGCAATCATGTTTAGCTTTATCTAATTTTAATAGCAATATTAGGTACATTATAATGCAGAGTTGTTCCACTTGGCTTTTTTCTTGCAAAGTTTGCTGTAGTTGTTGCATGATTAGTGCTATGTTTTTATGTTTGTAAATCTAATTCAAGAACATAATCCCTTTACTATAACTTTGCACTGCTATAGTCTGTGTTGGAAATCTGGTTTGAGATTTATATTCTCATAAGAACAAATATATTAAATTTAATATTCTCAAAAATTTATTTATATTCTCAACAATAAAATTTATTTATATTCCTATGTTTTAAATTTCAGAAAATATTGGTTATTTATTTACAACCCTTCTTGTCTTTATGTTTATTCATTTTTTTTCAGATAATTTTGGAACTTTGTTCAGTTTCTAATTTTATTTTCATCTAGTATTATGCTATTATATTTATATAATACTTATATAATAAGCATATTTTTTGAGTATTATGTTCTCAAATTTTTTTTATAAAGAACATTTACAGAAGATTAAATATTCTCAAATCAAAAAGTATGTTCTCATGAGAACATAAAATTTCCAATACTAGCTATAGTATAAAATAATTTTCAAAATTGCATTGTTGAATCTGAGCTAATTTCACAATTTGGAAGTTTGTAGTTGTTACTTGAGCTATGTAATGCCGACAAAACTTTCCACAGAGATATCCTAGCCTATATTATGCACTTTATTTAGTTTCATCATTATGTATATAATTGTTATGTATAATTCATTATGCATAAGATTGTTATATGTAATTTATTACGCATGTGATCGTTATGCATAATTCATTAAGAAGCTAACAATTATCAGATGATTTTCTAGGGGGGTTAAAAAATTTGAAATTTTATATATAAGACCTGATAAATTATATATTAAAACTAGATGGGATAAGCCTCTGATAAAAAAAAATTAGGTGATAAATGACACTGCTCTTATATATAAGATTGTTATACATTACTTAAAAATAGTTTTCGATTAAATAGAAATAAAATCTAGACAATAAAAATTCAAATATAAGTAAACACAAATTGTATAAAAATGCATATAAAAACTTTTGTAAAGGCAGAATTTGGACACCTTAAATTTTTTATTTTTAAATAAAAACAACTTATCTGTAATTTAAATTGTATTGTGTTATTCACAACCTAAAATTTATAAAAAAATTGTTAAATAAAAAGTTAATAATATTATGATACAAGCCCTTCTCTTAGGTTTTACTATGCCCTTTCCAACCCAAGATCTATGTTGGTCTGGGTTTTTTTGGTTTAAAAATAAAGTAAAAGGAAATAGATATACTGCAAAATACAAATATTGTTTAGTTGAACTAAGTAATAAACCTAAAAAGCTTCATCAGCATGTTATTCAGTATATGGATTGAAACATCACTAAAAAAACTATCTATTTTTATAAAGTTGCTAAAAAAAGTTCTTCATCTTGTAAGTACACCTGTAAAGAAGAAGAAGTTCTAGTTAATTTGACTGTTCAAAAAGATGATAACATGTTAGAATTATCTATATCAAATTCTTATCAAAAAACTATTATTAAATAGTTTGCACCATTTTTATCATGAATATAGTTCGAAAAACTCAATCAAAAACTTCTAGAATCAAATGATTCTACTCTTGCTAATGTTTTTATTTATATTCACCAGCAAATATTTCAACTTGAGATTTCTTTTACTAATTTTAAAACTCATGCCCTTTCTATTATAAGCAAACATACAAGAAAGTTTGATTATAATATTTACTTCATTGCACTTTTCCTCTTGCCAGCCCACAAACAGTTAGCTATATCTAGAAAAATGAATAAAAAAGCAATTAGCCATGCCATAATTGAATTAGCTTAGACATAGGGCTTCAAAAAAAGAGAAGCAAATCTTTTATACAAAGAATTGATTAATTATAAGAATAATGATCTTCTATTAATAAGAATTCTTTTCCAAGTTTCACACAATCTCTACGATCATTTTGGATCAAATTTAAAGAAAGTGCATTTCTTTTACATTATTTTGCACTAAAACTTCTTGCCATCATCTCTTATAGTGCTAGCTATAAATGGCTTTTTTTAATGCTTGGCCTAGTTAAAACAAAATTAAAAAATTTTCTTTGAGCTTGAAGAATTAAATGAGCTAGAAGAATTGGAGAAGTTATAACAAAACTAGATGAGTTGTCTATTATGGAAGAATTTTTTGATTTTATAGCATTTGAAAGAGAGCAAAAAGTTGAAGATTTACCTCAAATCTAAATGAAATTGAATGGTCTGTTAATAAATTATTTTTTAGAGCTAAAAAATATATTAAATAAAAAATTTATAATTTTAAATAAATATTATAAAGTATTTAAAATAAAAAAGAAAAACTTATTTGTATGCTATATTATATATAATCGAATAATATTAATTTGAAAGAGTTTTTTTTAAATAGTAACTTTTATAAACTTCACTAAATTTTTGGTAACTTTTATTCAGTCATATACAAAAGTATTACAAAAAGCTCATATTATATAAGCACAATTTATATGCTAAGTGAATACTTTAAAATTTTATACCCTATATATAACCAAATGAAAGCTACCAATTTGGACTCAAATAAAAGCTACTCCTTATCTTCAGTCTTTTTTTCAATATATTGGAAGCACGATTTATATACTAGGGCATGCCCTAAAATTTTACTATGCCATCTACCCTACCTCTAACATGATTTAAATCTAATTTAAATAACCCTAACCTCTAACCTTAACATCCCAATTAGGGTGGCTAGAAAAATACAATGTACAAATATGTACATATTTAATTACATTTTATATATGGCAATGGACTATATCTATTGAAAATAAGTTTGTCAATGAATCTCAATGGACCAATATCATTATTGGTCTATTGGTTCAATAGCATAAGTCAGAATAAGATTAACACCAAAAAAAAATCTCGAATATTACATGATATAGTATTCTAAACTCATTTATAAAAGCATAATTATTTTATCTACTTGTCTATTAACCCATTGGGATAGTGACCACCCAATAGAACTGGTCAATAGACCTGGGGTCTATTTATGCTAATGAACAAATGTGCCAACCCTGGTGGGCATATATGTGCCTTCTAGTTTATTTTGATCCTATAAACTTGTAGAATGTAAATAAAGAAAAAATTTAGTAAAGTTGATATAGTAGTTGTTGAGAAATATTTATATAAATTTTTTAAAAAAATGTTAAAACCAACTTAGAAAATTAAGACTACAATTATATTGTTTTAAAAAAATACAATTG